CGCACTTTTGAATATAATCAGTGCGGGCATTTCTTCAAGAAAAAGAATTTGTGTGCCGATTGATTGCAGACGTTACAGCTTCGCTGGAGCGCTCACGCGTTTTTATTGTTGTACTGTTGCGTGACACACACACATGTAAGATGAGGGTTCTGGACGCAGCTTTTCTTGCAGCCTTTCCCCGAACCCCGGGGTGGGGTGGGTGGCGGGGTTCGGGGAAAGGCTGCAAGAAAAGCTGCGCCAGAACCCTCATCTTACATGTGTGTAAAGTTTGTCATCAGTCATTGGTGGGTGTCGATCCGTCTATCGTTAGTCAAATAAGTCGGTTTTTGGTCCGTGTATTGTAAAGTCGGTCTGTTAGAAGTCCGTTTGTCGGTTTCGTTTCGGTCATGGATAAGTCGTTTGTAAGGCGCCGGTAGTTGTTGGCGCCAGAACCCTCATCTTACATGTGTGTAACTTTACATGAGTCTTTCAGCCAATACCATAATGGCTATACTCACCAATCACGTTCAACGGACCAGACTTATAACATCATCGGCTGACAAACACTATTCACTTGACTCTGAAGATGACTTCTGCTCAGGTTGTCGAAATGTTAGTCACCAACAACAGTTCTTTTCAGAACTACACTCACCCGGACGATCACACTATACGAACTGTTTTTAAGTTGTTGTTGTTTTTTTGTCTTTTTTTTTAATTATGTAGGCTGCTACCGGTGTAAATTTATCATAAAATGAATGGTTGCTTGGAGCCTCGTTTCTGTGCAGGAAATTTGACCACGTGACAAATGAGAATATTATCAGTGCAACCGTATCATCGAGGGATTAATATTGAGAGTTTGCCAAGCTATTGTGAACATTTAAAAATAGTTATATGCGTTTTTCTGGTCCAGCTTCGCTTTCATGCTAGGTCACGTGACCACCTCATAATCAGCAGCTGTCACTAAATGATCAAATTGCGTATTTCTGCCAATTTTGAGTAAGTTTGACAAGCTTTTGCAAACATTAAACATAGTATTATTTTACTCCAGCCTCATTTTCATGCTAGAAAATCACGTGACCACTTTACAATCAGTTGTCACCAAATAATCAACTTACGAATATCTGCCAGGTTTGGTGGTTAACCGATGGTAATTGATGAGGCTGTAAAGAATTTAATGTACCAGTCTCGTTTTCATGTGGGCTGATGTACGTCCGATTTTCAACCCTCCTCAATTAAAACCCGTCCCAGCAAGTTGCAGAGTTGCCACCAAAACGTTTCATGTTTACTAGACCCTAATGAGCACTTTCAGACCGGTGACTTACTTTCAGCACGAAATTTCCACGGGACTTAGTTTTTACGACATTTGCTCCCAGACTATTAGGCCGTAGTCCCTCCTTTCGCGTTCCTGTCGCCTATAGGAGTTCGCGCAGCCATTATTTTTCGCGGTTTTCTTTTGCGTCTCGCACGATGGACTAAGCGGTACTTTCTTTGCGGTAACGTACGTCTCGGACAATGATGACTTCTTGGATCTTTAGGTTGATCTTTGTTTGGTGGAGAATTGTGAAACCAACAAGATGGGTTTAGGATTTGCCACTCGATCACTCCTGGAAATACTGTAATGAATCAATTTTATATATTTGCCAGTCTAAAAATCGACATTCCACTCGTAGCAGGATGTTTGTCACATGAACCTAGTTTAATAATGACCTCGGCTGTAGCCCAGGTGTGGGGCATTTGGGCTATGGTAACCAGAAGGTCTATCTCTAGACCGCTCGAGTTGTTTTTCCAATGTTTGACAGCAAAATCACCTTGTGACCCTAGAAAACACAAGGATGTGTGGATGTTGCGGCTGCACATGTTGCAAATGTAGGTATCTGGCTGCTCAGATTGCCTTGGAAAGAGGGCACTAATCAAATCATCACAGTAAGGATGCAAGTGCTACAGTACTCTTGAGGAGTAGTAACTTTAAACAATTCCAACAGACAAAGAAAGAATTTGGATAACAATGAAAACAAATTTTCAAACTATTTTCAGAGATCAGTTGGAACAAAATCTGGTCCACAAAGTCATGCAGTTTATTTTATTTATTTTAACTAATCAAAATGACTTTTTCAGGGCCACTGCTATATATAATTGAAAAACACAATACTCAATACATTCAAGTACGAATCCTGGACACCTTTAAACAGTTTCACACCTTCAATCATCTAGATCAATGAAGAAGTAAGCTTAAGTCAACTCCAGGATTTATATAATGCATACAGTGACACGTAAAATAAATGCCTAACATTTAATTCACGACGTATTTACAAAGGTGTAACTCTCCTGTCAATATATTAATACTCATAAGATTTCTACATAATTTTACATGAGAATAGTGTGATTCCTTTCTGTATGAAGCTAAATATTATAGTCAAAATCACAAGCTAAAATTCAATGAAACCAGTATCAGCATATGCCTTTTGACATGCCATCTAAATACAATTATGTTAAAATTTGTACATGTATCATTTTTATTTTACATTTTTGACTAACCTAGAAGCACTCCCTCCTGTCCCACATCTCTGGTTAGTTCTTGTTCACGAGGCCTTCCATGCAGGAGAAGAGGCAGTGCTACAGTCTAAAGTGGTTTTTACACTATGTCAACAGCTAAGGTGGAACAAAATCCATAATCTTAAATATCATTCAAAGAGAGCAGCTACCTTGGCTGACTGAATAGGCATAGCATTTATTCAAATCAGAAACTCTTTTGATATATTAAATTTTGCTTTTCTTCATTCAGTTGACCTGCAGGTTACTAAACATCTGATATCACTCAGTGCTTCAAACAATTGAACATGTTGTCAATACAGTCAAACCACTCCTTATGGACACCTCTCTGTTGCAGACAGTTCTCTCGGTCCTGACAAAATGGCCATGGGCACTAAATCTCAGCCCCAGAGAGCAAATTCATATAAATGTACCCTCTCTACATTGGACAAAGCAGTGATATTTGTCACAGTTTACTGTTTGTGGTTTCAGATCAAACTGATCAATTGTTCTATAATGCATATTCACACTTTACATCAATAAAAGTACATTGCTATCTCCATTTTTTCTTTTAGTCGTGAGTAACATGAAATGGTCTGTTAAATGTCTAATAAAATATTTAGATGCACCTCAAAGACATGCTTGGGTCAGGGTTGACTTAAAAACACTTGATACTAACACTGGAGCCTTAACAATGATGTCACGTCTGTGACCTCTAGAAATCAGACACTTCTCTGACATGGACACTTTTTCAATCCCTTTGGTGTCCATATTGGAGAGGTTCGTCTGTAATTGCATTTTTACATTTGAGTGACCTATGAAAATAAATTAAATAACAAACTAACTGAAAATATTTAAGCTGTGCACAAAACAAGGAATTTCTTTGAAGTGGTACAATGATTAATCTTCTACCCCTTGTTATTTTACTGGTATCAAAGAGAATTCCATGAAAGTTTAAATATTGGATTTTTTCTGTTTTCAAATATCTTTGTTAGTTCCCGAGATATTAAAGTTTGAAAAATTTGTAAAATATGCAAGTTAGAGTATTAATGATGCCCCATACCAATCCAATTTTATATCAAGTATATAAATAGAGTCATCTAGGTCAATTTGCTGCAGAGACCATTAAAACTTGGCAGACTAATAGTTCTACAGGTAACAGATGGCTACGAGAAATTCAGTTCCCATGCTAGGTTACTAATTTCCAGTCCCCTTGAATTGTTTTTTCAACATGTTAGTGATTTTTAGCTGATAAAAAATTGAACCAGGCCAAGAACTCAACCCAACATATTTATATGGTTGCAGATGAGGCATGACTGGCAAATAACAAACGGGGATGCAAAAGATGGATCATAGAAAAACCTTTAACACTGGAGAGTTCTTGAACCAAGTATGTTTCCATGGTAACAAAATTGTTTAAGTGCATATCATAGAACACACCTTGAAGAGTCTTACTATCAAGATTCAAACATTTCTGATACAATTTGTCTGAGATATCTGTTTCTTCATTTCTGATGAAAATTTTGGTTGATTCTATGATGCCATCACTTGGCTAATTTGCATATTTTAAAATTTAAGACGGATTCCACTCAAAGTTCGCGCAATAAGTGCAAAAATTATTTACTAAAAATCCACTCACAGCACAGTAACTTTTGGAATACTATTTAAAACAACTCACTTTAGTTCATTTCTCTAAGTGACCCCACAATTAAATTCTCAAGCATTCTCGAGAACGTTAATATCAAACCTCGTAAGAATGCTTAAAGCGTGTGTTACTGTTTTTAAACTAATGCGAAACGTCTGTTTTAATTGAAAAAATATGGATAACTTCATGTTCTATGTTCTCTCGCAAGGTCAGCTAAGTTCATTCTTAGCTGTATTTAAAATATTACCATGCCGTGAGGTTTTTTTGGTAACTTAATTCTTGCCATTATTGCTCAAATGTTCTGCGGAAATCATCATAAATATCTCTGGAAAGAGAAGAGATATTTAAAAATGGTAAGAAGCATTTTTCTTCTGGCACAGACTACTATGTTTTAAAATGGCTGAGATAGGACAGATTCAAATTTCATCATAGTAGCACGTTAATGAACACCACGCATTCCTAGTCTACAATTTTTATCTACCAATGCAGTATAATCATGCAAGTCTTGCATAATGCTCTGGCCCTTTAACTACTTGATGTAACCATAACAAATGCAACTATTTTAAAATTCCATAATCTCTTAACACTTCTCAGTTTACACAGGAAATGGTAGAGAAAATAGTGCTTTCCTAAACAAAGCAGTCTTATTGTGCCTGCAGCTGCTGTGTCAAGCCTCTTAACCTACTGAGTGCAGATCATTTTGAGGGAAGAGTGGTTACAACAGAAGGAAATTATGTCAAAATAATCATTGTTAACTGATGCACGTGATAAGAAAATTAAAGATGTTTAGAAAAACTTCTTGACAGAGACAGAAATGTGCATGACAACAGTTCAATGTAAGTCCCAGTGACTGGCAAAAATCAACCTTTTATTGTCACATTGTTTTTGGTCAAACTTGTTAATTAGATCAGAGGGTTTAAATAATTAAGTCAGCCAATAAACCTGTTTATCCCCTCATTACACCAAGACTATTACGGCTGGCTTTTCTCTTTTTGCAATCGTGATGATACAGAAAAAAGATAAAAACAGATTAGGGGGTAATAAAATAAATAAACCTGGGGTATCAAAAGATAATGCCCTCTGGTGAAAAGAGTATCCTTCAAATTTCACAGTTGCCCCAGAATCTTCACTTGTCAGCCAATTGTTCGTTAATTTTTTTTGGACAATCTTGCAGTCTCAGGAGTTTATTTACTTTAAACATACAATGATGCCTGTGGGTTTCAACTTTTATATCACATACACAGGCACCAACACCTGCCTTACAAACTTTACTTTGTAAACTTCGAATTTAGCACTTTTGAGAAATAGGTCAACTTCACAAAAGAAAATTATCTAAGGACAAAGTCTGTATTTAAGTCGTACTTCCTCACTACCTAACAAATCCTGTGATTTTTTGGAGGAAAAAAATCCGAAGGGTCATCTTTGGCCAAATAATTATTCCACATTTGGAACATTTCTAGAAGTCAAGAAATCTTATAATTTGGAAATAGTTAGGACATCGCACAAAGCCCTGATAAAATGTCTCTTGTTTTCTTAGCATGCTGAAAACAATGTGATGGTATAACATGAAATTTGTATACTTGAAGTAAGCTTACACTATTTGAAATTACTAACAATAAAATACAAGTCAAGATTTACAGGTGTGTGAATCTTGACATTTTAAATACTGGCTGAACCTTTTAGAGAGGATAAATTGTTTCCTTTCAAATAATTGACAGTAGGGCTTCACTAGTATGATACAAAAAATAATCTGCGGTAAAAGTTATACTGAAAGTGTGATAATAAATATTCCATTACAAGCAAACCACTCAAGAGGAATGTACTGACAAGGGAGAGCATTAATTTGACTGATCACCTTCTTTACCAGTCATCCAATAAGTGACCATCTTGCCTTTTCCTTTCACTGCTACTAAGCCACGGCATTCAAAGGTGTATCCACGTGTAGACAGAATGTTATAGACACTTTGTGTCACCTATAAGATTCAAATGAATGAGAAGTGTATGTGGGCAACTGTCTAAACTTGCATGCTCATGTAGAGTGTACCCTAAATTGTCCTTAAAGCAAGTAAATCTCAATAGCAATAACAACAATCCCTTTTCTTTTAGGGGTAAAATATTTAAACAGGCTTAAGAAGCCCTTGATGTTTTGCTGGTTCATTTCAAACCACTTGTATATGATTTAAACCCTGTTCCAAGACATAGACTTCAGGTCTACTTTAACCATTGAGCTGGTCCTTCATCTTGCCTTAGAAACAGATAAATAACAAAGAGAAGTACTTTTTAACTCCATTTGACCAAACATGTAAAATTTATCTTTGTTTACAGCAATGGCAAATGGAGTGATTAGTTTGTCTGTGCTGGAGGTCATCAACTGCACCATATTAGTGCTCTTCATCAGTGAAGCTCATTATAGCAGAGCTCTGGCGGCCCAAAGGGCCCGCCAAGCGGAGCCCCACACTCATATAGGAAAGAAAAGGAAACCCATGAGTTGATTTTCTCGTGGTTATCATGGCTAGCAGTATTACTCGTGGGCGCATACGCACACAGCGACGATGACGACAACAACGACGACGACGGAGTCGCACAACATGGCAGCCATACTCCAAATAATAGGTTGACAGAGACATGCACCTTTGTTTACCGTGTACTTCTTTGATATTGGACATCCATGTTATGATCAATTGACACCTGTCAAAACAAGGTATCCGCTGACCAGTATCATGTGACCATATTGCGGACTCAAGTTTACAGCTCATAGAGGTTGCATGTTTTTTTGAAGTTGACGCTGACCAAGTGCGATTGGATTGCGGGCTCATGTCAAGTTAACTTGTTGAAAACAGGGCAGGATTTTTCGGAAGCCAGTTAACGCTAACCCAGGATTACTAAATTTCTTAACGCTAACCCAGGATTACTGTATTTCTTATTTTAGATTTTAATACTTTTTATTTTATAGAGGACCTCCCTGAAAACCAAGTATTTACGTGACGGCGCTTCCTCTTTAGAGATTGTTTTTATTATTATTATTATTATTATTAAAAGTTAACCGAATTATAACTTTTTCTTCCATACAATTTTTTTTTTGCTGCTTTGTTTTGTGTATTGATTATTAAAACTCAAAACAGAAGGCCAAACAATATATAGAAAACCTCACGGCAAAGTTACAAAACTCAAATCAAAATTCTACCTTTTCCTGGGTTAGCTTAATCGGGCTCTGAACAACCCGGCCCAGGAGCTACGCTTTTAGACTGGCCTAAATCTCTACATTAGATTAGATATTCCTCAGGTCACTGTAAGTGTAAAACAAAATAAATCCACAAGTGCCAGACCTGTATGTGCTTGGCCTTTCCAGTGCTGTACATACGGCTGGCGACATTAACTGTATCACCCCAGATATCATACTGAGGTTTGTGGGCACCAATGACTCCAGCGACTACAGGACCAAAATTTAATCCTGAAAAGATAGACACTCAGTAAGTTCCTGTCACACCTTATGTACATTCTGCAGTAAATTTACATAGCCTGCAAATGAAGCCATCCATTACTCCGTCACTTTAGGCAGTGATTTTAAGTGCACTGTTTGCCACACAAGTCTTCCTGTAGCATTAATGCTGTAAGTGTGCCCTATTTTTACATGGCCACAGCTTCTTTAAACACTATATCTGTGTTTTCTTAGCTATTTAAAATTTTATATGTTGTGATTTATCTTATTTTAAACTTTTGCCACAGTTAGATAACAACCAACCCAAGTCAGAAATACAAAAATGTTGGGGCACTAAATAGTCTTGTTTTGGAAGCACACCTTATTGAAGACCATGCTGTTTCTAGAAGCTTTGGCCATGCAATGTTATATATCTCATTCATTGCTTTCAGTGAACAAAAGGTATAGTGGAGATTTCTGGATAAAGTGGATCTACTGGTTTCAACACAAATAGGCCCACTTTGCAACATTTTCCACCTGCTATCATTCTTTCACACAGACTACAGTATAATATATTGCAGTATCAAAAAGAAGATGATTTTAATTCAAAGAATGTTGAAATTTATTTGAACTTGAAAGGTTATTCTCTCTACTTTAACTCTGCTTCATGGATTTACTTGTTCCATAATTGATGAACTTATAATAAGAGAAGTCCCTACAGAAAGATACATTCTTGTAAACAAATCAAATCCCTATGACTGTGAAATATCAGGAGACTTCACATCAAGTAACAATGCTCTTTTCTTACCCCATCAGAAGTCGGGTCACACTTAAGCTTTAAAATCCTCTTCCATTAACAAGACTTAACATGAGGGTACTCTAAATATCGAGAATTGACCTCCAAAACTGAAATCACAGATTTCTTCATATTTGCCAAGAGAAACCCTTTGGTATTTTCGAAAATAGGACTAAAACTCGCCAGAGTGTTTTTGATTTTGAGAAATCCAACAAAAAGTAGAACTGCGATTTCTGCGCTGCGGCCACCATTAAATTCAGCCAAAAACTTGGGCATATTCACATCATTCTCAAAAAAGACAGCTCAGTCTATTCAAATTATCTTTTACATGTATGTTTGGTATCAGAATTACAACACAAAGGTATAAAAATATTGCCAAGAAGTCCATTTTCACTTTGGGTTAGAAGCGCCTGAAGATTGCTAGTTTTTGCACTTTGAAAAAACCTTAAAATAGGGCGTTTTTGAAGGCAATTTTCGTACATTGGTACACAGAAATTTTAAATGAAAAGTACATTTGTGCAAAGCCCTGATATTGTTTTACAGCATAAAAAATTCAGCTTGGACAATTGAAAAGCTGTATAGTAAGACATGTGTAAGAAAAGGCTTTTTACACGTAATTTACAGTTCAATTACGAGGGTCATACAAACACAAGTAAATGGGTGTCGCCACCTCTGAAATTCAAGGCTCAAAGAAGCACTCTGGTACATGGCTTGACCCAACAAGACTACACTCCAGGGAAGATCAGTCATTTCAACTACACATTGGGCAAAAAAAAAAAAAATAGGGTAAATACAATGGCGAACTGTGAGAATATTTTCAAAACACAGGTCACTTGAGTAATATGACCTTCCACGTCAGTCAGAAATCAACACACGGCAGCTCTTAATTTGACTTTCACTTGTCGGAATACATGTTTGCTTTTGTTTGCTTTGCTAGCATATCCCCAGGTAGAAGAAGCTAGGCTTTTGAATTTAGAGGCATCTACCTGCAATATAATAACAGCTGCAGTATAATTTTTTAAAATTTGACCCACTTTGCATTTAGATGGTTACGATAAGCTGAAGTTGATCGCCAAATTACACATTAAAATTCACTTTTAGAAAACAGCAGTATTAACAAGGATGCAACAATCAAATGTACTTAATGGTTAGGAATTATTCCTAACCTTAGTGAGTTTTTCCTGACAGGAAACCACAGCAGTTTTAGAAAAACGCAGGGTGAAAGGACCAAGCCTTGTCGCATGTGACAGAAATGTAAATTGGTGGGGAGGTGGTAGAGGTTGGAAAGATTGGGGTGAAGGAAGGGCAGCAGTGTATTGGTGGTTTCTCGTACTTTAACTGCACTTTTTGATGGGCGAGTGCATTTTTACAATGTGCCTTTCACAGGCAGCTTAATCAACTAGTGAGACAATCTCAGATAGTGCAACTTATGGCTCTGATACAGTAGTCACACAGCCCCACTCCTGCCATTCTCTCTCTTGGTAGTCAACTAGGCCTTTTCCTCTTTGCAGAATATGAGGGGACAAAAATGTGATAAGGCATAATCTTGGCAATGTGTATGTTTCATGTGCATATTTTCATTCAAGGCCCAATAATAACTTACAATTACCGTTTGTCAAGACAGTTTTGAATTTTATCGTAGTGTTTTACTTTGAGTTTTGTTCATTTTAAATTCAATAATACATAGAAGTAGAATATGTGACAATTTTACTTCCCACGCAAGCGTTTGTAACTTGACAATTTTGTTTTCCTTGCCAAGGTATGAACCATGATACCCTTGTTACCTTGAAAATATAAGAATAGATGTACATTTTTTTTACTCACTGTTGGAAATGAATGGAATACAGTTAAAAATCTTATGAAAATTCGAAAGGGAACGATGTCATTTCATTCAAAACGCAAATTTTCATTTCACTGATAAACAAGAACTAATCTAATTATCCAATAGTCACGTTGAGTCACTGAACAGTGCATTCTTGTTTACATCAAACTAATACACAATGCTATCAATAATTGCGAAGTCTCTTCTGTCACAAATTTACTAGTTCTACATGTATCTAACTTGGGAAAGTTTTGGCTGAATATGAACTTTTTGCTCACCTTATAGAAGAGGAAATAAACTAGTTAAGGAGAAGCAATATGATTCCATTCTTTATTTGAACCCTGGCAAACACACAATAGTTATAAAACAGCAGACAAAATTTCTTGAATCAAGCTAGGGGTGCTTCCAGAAGATACACAGTCACAGTAGCTTTCTTTGCACTAAGAAAGGGATAAACGACGTAACCTGAAATATAGCTGCTATTCCTGGTCATAACGAGAGTGTGGTACCATCCCCAAAAAAGCAGATCTTAACTCAAGAATGGAGTTTATCACACTACCAATGCTAGAACGCATGTGTCTTACAAGGAACAGCACTCTACTTGTGTGTATGATCCCATATGAAATGTATCTTTCACCTAACATATAGTTGACACCGACACTAACTACAGTATTGTGCAAAAGTAACGCAAGCGAAATGCGCGAATTTCGTTCTTTGTTCCTACGACTTTTTGACGAAAGTTCACACGAAAGTGCAAGTGAAATTTCATGGCGTATCGAGCAATAATTCGCATGAACAAAGGGCGATTTTACTTTGAAGTTTCATTAAGCTAAAGAAAATTCGTGATGTTAGTTCGCTAGGCAGTACACAAAATTTTGCAACGCATTGAACGGCAGTTCCGCAGCGTTCACGCAATTTTCTTTCAGCAACTGATACGAACAAACTGTTGTGTAACTTACAAGTGATATATTTGTAAATGCGTGCCAATAAGTTGTTTGTAAATACGTGCCTGTTTGCAGTCATCGATCACCAGTTAAGGGGATAACATTTTACTGGTATCTACGAGAAATATGTTACTAAAATCTTACTCACCTAAAGTTTGCGAAAGGCTTTCAAGCAGCTTCGCTTGCTCATGTTCAGCTCAGGCCCAGTTTCATATGCAGAGAATTAGAATACACTGAACCGCATTATGAAGACAATGAGCTCAGTTTGTTCCACAAACAAAACAAAAACATCTCCAGT